TCTACCCCCTCTTCCCCTTCCCCTTCACCCCCCCCCCTGCCCTCATCAAGAATCGGCATAACAGGTTATTGCACCCAAGACGAGTATAACGAAATCGAAGTAGTAGCCTGCTCTAATATCAGCCAACCACCTGGAGGTGACGGTAACGGTGACGGTGGCGGTAACGGTGACGGTGGTGATGGGTCTGGACAAGATAGAGTCGAGACAGAAGAACAAAGACGGCAGAGAGCTATTAACAAGTACGTCATCATTCTGTTTGCTGCTTTGTTTGTTTGATTGTCAGTCTGTCTGTCTGCAATTTGCCTGTTCGTTTGTTGTTACTTCGTTGGGTTTTGTTATTGTTTTTCATTATTTATTAGGGGTGTGAGGTATTTGATGTTTTATTCAGGCGGGGGTGAGGCTTTCTTTGTTGTTGTTACTTTTGTTGTTATTGTTTTTTCTGAGTTTGATTTATTTGAGGGAGTTTATGTTTGTAACTCTTGTCAGAAAAAAAGAGGACTCGTGTAAAGGTCATCTTTGCACAAGTTTCATCAAAATTTCAAACAAATAAAATTCAACAAAGGGAACGTTAGATTTGTCAATATGAAAAAATCAACCGACGTATTGGAAAAATATCACGTTTTAAGAAGTTTGATCAAAATTTAGTAACACTGTAAACTTTACAACTCATTAGAAGTCAACCATGGCCTAATGTGTGTTTTTCCATTAGAGAATTAAATGTATTTTAAGCAGACGATGCTATAGACAATGTGTCCAAAAAGAAGACTCGTTCAAGGTGTGATATATATGTTGTATGCGGGTTTTTTGTGTTTGTTGTTGTTGTTTTTGTTCTGTTTTTGTTTGTTTTTGTTGTTGTTGTTGTTGTTGGAAGGGGTGGGGGGTAGTTTTGTTTTTTGTCGCATTTTATTTTATTTATTTTTTTTTTTAGAGGTGGGGTTTGAAAGACAGCGTATATTATTGAAAAAACAGGAGCAGTCAAACAATTCAAATTCAATATTGAACATTTTCAGAAGGTCCAGAGAATCGACTCAGAATCATACTACAGGATTATTTATTTATTAAAAGTTCCCAGCTACGTGTTCGAGCTCATCCTGTCAGGAAAAAAATGATCAACACCTGGAATGTATATTTAAATACCCACCACCTTCGTGAAGTTTGTTCACCGCTACCAGTTTCAAAAATATAATTCTTACATGTACAAAAAAAATTATTGTTGACTTTTAAGAAATTATAAACTTTTGCGATGCACTCGATTTTGGAATTTTAAAAAACAATTAACATGATACGAGTACCTCTCAAAAATTTGTGAGTCGATTTTATTCATATTGACAAATGCGATTTCCCCTTTGTTGAATTATACACGTTAAAAGTTTTGTTACAATTACTGCAAATATAAGCAAGTTATTACTCTTTAGATGAGTCCTCTTTTTCAGATCAGATACCCTATATTTTTTGTTGAGAGGTGGGGGTGGGTGGGGGAGATACAACGTATTTTCCTTCTCCCTGTTGTTTATGGTTGCATGTCTTACTTTTCCCGTGCATTAAATTATCTGCTCCGTATCAATGTGCTTGTTTTTACTCAAACAAAATAACATGAATAAACGCTGGGGTTAGGGATAGGGCGGGCAACAAAAGAGAACTTCTTTCCTCAACTTACTACATAAAGTGTGCCTTGCTAGCTCCTGGCAGTGGGTGGATAAAAAGGTAAGTGGGGCTTAATTGCTTCTATTTCACTACCAGATCGCTACCTTAGAATTACAACGTTCTATCTGACGTCTTTGGCCATTTTGAGTTACTTAGACCATGAGGTCAAAAACCAAACGTTTTATCTGCTCTCTCAAAGTAGTAAAATTATTCGGAGTCGTTATCAAGATATTCAAAGAATCGCATTCGAAAAGCTTAGCGCATTGTGAAACGCAAATTATTTTACTCGTGGCCTAGAGGTTAACGTGTTGGCCTCTCATTCAAAGGTCCCGGGTTCGAATCTGAGTAGCGACCGAAAAAAATATTCTCCAAAATTGTCTCCTTTCATCTACTTTCCTGCTCTCTAGCAATATTCTGTCGTCTGCTTTCGTCTCCTCTTTCTGCCCCCACCCCTCGCCTCCTTTTCCCCCTCCTCTGTGCTCCTGACGCTTTCTGCAGCATTTCAAACTGCAACACCTTGGCTCCTTCTTACTGCTGTCTTTCAGCCACACCCCTGATCTTTTGGAAGGAAAGATCTACACCTAGCCTTCTCGGACAAGGGCGAAAAATCTCCGAGGGCCCGTGAGCAAGTTGTGCACGTTAAATATCCGTTGGTGGTCTAAAATCAATAAGAGTAGGCTTCGGTCGCCACCCGGGCCAAATTCAAAATTTCCTACGAACTGAAAAAGTTTAATATGCCCCAAGCGCTCATATGACCTTATGCAGTTGCGAGCGCCGTAACCCCCCCCCCCCCCCCCCCCCAAAAAAAAGAAAAGACTTCTCTGGACTCTGTTGGAAGAAGGCAATAGAACAATTTCACGTAATGTCCTAGACACTGTATGGATGGTGTAGACTTGGTAATAGATGTATCTGAAGGTACCGTCGCCGAAGAACTCGCTTCTGTTGTCAATAATGTTCATTTTTTCGGCAAACATAATGAGCACAATTGCATTTTGCACGGCTGTAATCATCCCATCTGGGTTTTTTTAATGTACCATCCTCCAATTTTTGTACAAGCTCAAGTCTGGTTGTTGGTAGTGTTTCTTGTAGCTTCGTTCGTTGTCTATAAATGGCCTGCCAAATAATATAGGTAGTTTCTTTATTCTGTGTTTGAGGCCCCTGTCCCATATCACATAAAGCATATACGTATTACAGACGAGATTTCTGTGAAAGCAGCATAAACTCTAAATAATGTACATATCGACAGCATTTTAGAATTATGTCGTGTTGTTAAACAATGTGTAATACAACAGTACAGGTTGCACACATACCACTTCTCATAGCGGATGGTAGGAGGAAGCCACGGATAGGTCCCACTTCTTTACTTTCCCTCTCTTGTTTCTGACTGTTTGACTGTCTTACTTTTCCCGACACAAAATGGCCACCATAATTGTGTCATTGTGCTTTTCTTTACTGAATCATAACTCTTCCCTGGAGTCAAACATTGCATATGGGAGGTTGGCAGATGCTTTGGTGTGGTTAGTTCCTTCATTTCTATCAAATATCTATCATCTTTCCTCCTTTTTTGTGTTTGCCTTGTAGTTTAGTAAATTTTACTGCGCTTGCACGAGCTGCATAAGGTAATATGAGAGCGCTTTTGTTACTCTCTTGTAACACCTCTAACTTCGGCACTTATCTGATCTAAATTGTGTTGTAAATATTGTAAACCTCTTACTAAAAGATCAAACAAAACATCGCAACCCCACACCAGGGCACTGCTACTGACTGGAGATGTCTTTAGGCCATTCCCAAGGGGGAGGGGGTGGATATTAACATGTAAAATTGTAAATGGGCTGATTCATCAATGTCATTCTCATACTGTGCCGGAACCACCTAGGGGGAACTGCTGGTTTTTCTTTCCTCTTCCTGACTATCGTCATTTTCCTTTATTTCTTTTGTATGTTTGTCACTCTCTTGTGAATTGCTATTTCCGGGGTGCCTTGATAGTCGAAGCAGACCTTGTGCTGTTGAGGCTAGAGAGGTGAGCAGAGTAAGCCTGATTCCCCGTTTGGACTTCTCTGTTGACATCCACCCCTTAGCGCTCATATGACCATTATGCTGTTGCAAGCGCCGTAAAACTCTTACTAAAACATAAAACAAAACTTCACACACTCTAGAACGAGGGACGCCTTCGAGGAGTTGGGATTGGGGTGTCGTAACCACGCCCTGCCTTGCTTCGGCCTCCTGCTGAACCAGGCACTGAGGGATGACCATCTGACCTGTCAGAGCATCGACGACAAGAAGGCGTGTCTGCTCGGCCAGCGAGTCGGCGGCAACAGCACAGGGTACGTCACAGTTTTTGTGCCCGTTACACTGACTATGTACTACCCAAAAAATAGTTTTAAAGATTAAAAAAGATTAAAAATTAAATAAAAATAAAAATAATAATAATAATAATAATAATAATAATAATAATAATAATAATAATAATAATAATAATAATAATAATAATAATAATAATGATAATGATAACAATAATAGTAATAATCATAATCATAATCATAATCATAATAATAAAAGTGAGTGCAATAGTAATAATAACTTTAATAATAAAATAATGATGATAATTATAATAATAATAATAATAATAATAATAATAATAATAATAATAATAATAATAATAATAAGGATAATAATGATTTTTAGTAGTAGTAATAGTTGTTGTTGTAGTAGTAATAGTAGTAGTAGTAGTAGTAGTAGTAGTAGTAGTAGTAGTAGTAGTAGTAGTAGTAGTAGTAGTAGTAGTAGTAGTAGTAGTAGTAGTAGTAGTAGTAGTGTTTACTGTTATAATTACTATTTTTATTTTTATTGTTATTATTATTATTATTATTATTATTATTGTTATTATTATTATTATTATTATTATTATTATTATTATTATTATACAATCATTGTTATTACCCTTTATAATCAATATTATACATACGTATTATTTATATAATATTTATATGAATAATTAATCTAGAACATGTCTACTCTCGAACCAACCGTATTATGAGTATGATGTGACGTCAGTCTTGATTATTTTATGACGTCACAAAAGGTTGTGTTTTTTTTTAAACTCTAGAGGACACAAGACAAAGTTTACAACATAAAAAAACATAAATGTTAAATCTTTATGCACTGGAAATTCGGTGAATCGCCAAAACCTAGATCTACTCAAGAAAATTTGCACCAAGTACATTTCCAGTTTCCAAGGATACTCAAGCTTACCTTTCCCTGATCTTTCCCCATTACCCATTTGCTTAAGTTCCTTAAGTAGGTTGCTCTGGGGCTACCCCTGCCTTGTTTGTCTTCAATTTTGCCAGTGAGAGTGAGAGCTAAATGTTCAAGGCTTTTACAACTCTATAATCATCATCATCCGGTGCCTTGCCGACTGGCCTAGGCGATCATGGACCTCCACTTCACTCTGTCTTGCGTTGTAGCAATGGTGTCTGTTGTTCTTGCTGCTCCTAGCCATGTTGTCATCTTGTCCAGTATCTTTTCCCTCTGTCTGCCTCTACCTCTCTTTCCATCAAACTTGCCTGTTGTTACAATATTCTCCAATGTTTCTTTCCGCATTGTGTGTCCGAAGAAATTTGCCTAACTCTATAATACATGTATGCTAAAAAAATATTTTAAAACGCCTGATTCCACCTCGTCGTGACGCATAAAAATGTTTATCGCTGCGCAAGGGAAATTGTTGAAGAGACAGACACTGTTTTTGATGGCCCGCGTGGGTGTTCATGTGTGTGTATGCGTGTGTGTTTACATGTGTTTGCAATCTCGTTATCTACATTCTGTTCTCATCTTTAACATTATCCTCCCTCCCGCCCCTCCCTATCCCTTTCCCTCGACCACCATCCCCACCCCCTCCCA